TCCGAGGAGGTGGATGGGCCCACACATGCTTTAGAGCAGGAAGATAAGAAATCAAAACCTACAGAAGATGCAAGGTCATCAGAACAGATTGTTATGGTTGGTTGCTGGCTGGCGATGAAAGAGGTAATTTCTATATTCTTTCCTATTTATGGTCTGTCTACTGAATGCAGGTAATAATGTTGGTTTTCTAATCATTCTCTTAATTAATTATTTATATTTGCTGAAGTCCAAGCAATTAAAAATGAATTCTTTTGACGTCGATGTTAACGACAGCATGTTTATGGTTTTTAGGTGAGTCTTCTTCTAGGAACCATCATAAGAAAAATTCCTTTACCAAGTAATGATTGTTCGGATTCATTAGAGTCTGAGACTCGTTTTTCCAATGATGCTGATGTTTCAGTGATGACAATCTCTAATCCAATGCTTGACTTGAAACAACTTGAAAAAATTGGGAACCATTTCTTGGAAGTTCTTTTGAAGATGAAGCATAATGGAGCAATTGATAAGACAAGGGCTGGGTTTACAGCTCTTTGCAACCGCTTACTTTGTTCGAATGATCCAAGGTAAGTTTCCATTTGTCTTTGTCATACATATAAGAATATAGCAATTTTTTATCATCCTTAGAGTTAAGAGGGATGCCTAGTTTATGCCATCAGTCATATTCTTTTAATGCTCCTTGCTTCCTCAAAATGGCCGTAGGGCATTTGGGGAAAGAAATCTCAGCCCTTTTAATATTCTTGGTTTTCCCATTTAAAAATAGTAATGGGTTCCTTTAGCAAGAGGGGGCTGTTTTGAAGTGCTTTGGACTGTGCCAGTGCTTTTATATTTGTTACAATGTCCATATTAACATTTTCCAGTTCTTATTGGATCTATTTGGCTTTAATTGCAAAAGATATTTTGAATATAGAAGTTTCTCAGTATACATTTAGCTGGCTTTTTGAATTCTTATTATTCTTAACCATAAGTATTTCTGAGATGTTGTTTATCTTTGCAGACTTTGTAGGTTGACTGAGTCTTGGATGGAGCAACTTATGGAAAGAACTGTGGCCAAGGGACAAATAGTGGATGATTTGTTAAGAAGAAGTGCAGGTATTCCTGCTGCTTTCATTGCCCTATTTCTTGCAGAACCAGAAGGTGCACCAAAGAAGCTTCTCCCACGGGCACTTCGGTGGCTAATAGATGTAGCTAACAGGTCTTTGCTGAACCTAATTGAAACCAAAGGCGTAAAAAATGAATCTCAATGTTTATTGGAAAATTCAAACCAAGAGACGGAATCTGCATTGTCACCTGAGATGAATGCAACTTTCAAATCGTCTAAGATTCGAGATGAGGGTGTCATTCCAACGGTACATGCATTCAACATCCTTAGAGCTGCATTTAATGATACCAACCTGGCTACTGACACCTCTGGTTTTTCTGCCGAAGCTTTGATTGTTTCAATCCGCTCATTCTCTTCTCCATACTGGGAAATTCGGAACAGTGCTTGTCTCGCATACACTGCCTTGGTACGTCGCATGATTGGATTTCTTAATGTTCAAAAACGAGAATCTGCAAGGCGTGCACTAACTGGGCTCGAATTTTTTCATAGGTACGATTTCTTTGACTAGCAAATTAGATCACATTTTCCTGTCTCTTGTATTTGCTTTATTTTTGGCATGGTTTAAGTTTGCAATTGACTTTCAGAAATTCAAAGTTGGCCAAAATTTTAACTTTTGTATATTCATAATCTTGCATGAAAAGAGTCTCTAGGTGAACTGCTTTAAAATTTCAGATTGTATGCTTGTCTGAACTATGTGTCGTCTTATAGTTTAGCATTACTTTTTTTCTGCTAATTGTGTAGAGCTACTATAATATTTTAACGATTATTTAATCTGCTTTCTTGAAGGTACCCCTCATTGCATCCATTTATATTCAATGAACTGAAAATTATAACTGAGTTGCTAGGCGACACCTCATCTGGTCAATCAGAATCCAACTTGGCAAATGTTGTGCACCCAAGCTTGTGCCCCATGCTGATTCTTTTATCTAGGCTCAAACCTTCACCCCTCGCAAGTGAAAGTGGGGATGACCTGGATCCTTTCCTTTTCATGCCATTTATCAGAAGGTGCTCAACCCAAAGCAATCTAAAAGTTCGTGTTCTTGCATCCCGCGCTTTAACAGGACTGGTATCTAATGAGAAACTGCCTGTTGTCCTTCAGAATATAGCATCTGAATTACCTTATGTTGAAGACCATAACACAGCTGCTCCTGCTTCCTCTCCGTGCCCAACCTCTGGAACCCACCGAGCTAACTCCAATTTAATTCATGGAATTCTATTGCAGTTAGGTTCTCTTCTGGATGCAAACTGTAGAAACTTAGGTGATTCCTCGAAGAAGGATCAAATTCTTGGTGACTTAATCAAAGTTCTTGGGAGGTGTTCATGGATTGCAAGCCCCAAAAGGTGCCCTTGCCCCATCCTCAATGCCTCTTTCTTAACAGTGCTTGATCACATGCTCAGTATTGCAAGAACATTCCGTATAAGCAGTAGTTTTTATGCCGTACGCAACCTACTTTTGGAGTTATCTACTGAGTGCTTAGATGTTGAAGCTTCTTACGGGCTGTCATATTATGATCCAACAATTGCTGAACTTCGGGAACAAGCGGCTAAATCCTATTTCAGTTGTGTTTTTCAGGCATCTGAAGAAGCAGATGAAGAAGTTTTTCAGATGCCACAGAGATGTTCTCCACTTGATTCAAAGTTGTCGAAGATACCTGAAATGGAGAATTCTTTTGCTGGACTCCTGGAGAGGCTGGTCCGTTGCTTGTCAGATTCATCTTATGAAGTTCGACTTGCAACATTAAAGTGGCTTCTTAAGTTCTTGAAATCAACAAAATCAGATAGTGAAGTCTGTGACTTGTCAAGCAGTGAAGTACGGAACATTCAGAACTGGACAAAAAGTAACCTGCAGGACACATTGATAGACCGTTTAGAGTTGGACAAGAATCATAGATGTACAAATTACATACTGAGGAATCTTTTCACTTGGAACTTTCTGCAGTTTCAGAAAGCCAGCAATGAAGTACAAATAATTTATGTTGGAGGGATGGATTGTGATTCTGTTTTTCAGCTTTGGGATAGGCTGATATCCTTGTATGAGCTCACAAGACATACTAAAACTAAAGAGGCTCTCATCAAGTGTTTGGCAATATGCATACGGCAGTTTGCAGGTATATATACAAGCTCAGTTCTTGATTTAGAGAAGAAGAAAACCAGGGAGTTCAGTGAGTCAGATCATTTGGAAAGATCAGCCCGTTTATATGCTTGCATTAATGCTTTTGTTGACATAATTAAAGAGCATAGTACCTCATCAGAGCCGGTGAACATGCGCAAGGCAGCAGCTGAATCTATAGGAGCATCTGGTTTGCTGGAACAAGCCGAATTTGTGGGTCCTTATGTGGTCAACCACCAAATTCCCCCTGAAAGTTTAGGTACGCATTTCAAACCACAAGAATCCATTAATATGTATGCTCGTCAAGTACTAGAGATATGGTTTGCATGTATCAAACTACTGGAGGATGAAGATGATGGGATTAGACAAAGGCTTGCCATGGACGTCCAGAAGTGTTTTCATTCAAAAAGCTACAGAAATGGCTCTCATGCGGGAGGGGCTCCAACCCAAGTGGAAAAAGTTATTGAATCAAGTTTTCAGTACCTATCCTCCATCTTCGGTTGCTGGATCGAATATACTGAATCCCTTCTGCAATGGGTGCTTAATGCAGCAAGCCATGTGGTATCCGAAGGGGATCTAGTAAGGCGGGTTTTTGACAAGGAAATTGATAATCATCATGAAGAGAAGCTTTTAATCAGTCTATTATGTTGCTCTCAATTAGAGAAGATTCCTATTTCAAAATCTTGGACTGTTGACACATCGAACAAAGATCGAATCAGAAACTATTTACTTGGTTGGAGGAAGAGATTTTGGCATCAGTTAATGTCATTTGCAAAGGATCAGATTAGCAGGCAGGGAGGAATTTATTGGATTGGTGGTGTTGGTAACCATAAGGATTCATTTCTACCAGTTTATGCAAATCTGCTTGGTTTTTATGCACTCTCAAACTGCATTTTCAATGGGGAAATTGAAGATGGTATGTCTCTACTATCCGATGTCGTCGAACTTGGTAAAATTATCAGTCCATTTATTAGGAACCCTTTGATTCACTACCTGTATTTGTTAGTAGTTAAATTACATGAGAAAAAGATTGGTGCTTCTACTGAACAAACAGTGGAATTCACAAATGACATGATTTGGGAGGCTTTTGACCCCTATTTTCTTCTTAGATAAGATTGAAAGCAGCCACTTTGTATAATAGCATTGTAATTCATAAAACAATGATTGAAAGAGGAATTGTAAAATTTTGAAGCCATAATTGATTCTTTTTTTTTCTCCCACATAAGTAGTCCATAGTAATCTCTTGTATGCTTTACAAACAATGCCTTGAGAGCCTGTGTGAGATGGTGTGATAGTTTTTGTTTCATTCTCTTCTGTTTAGTTCTCTCTCATTTTCATCGAAGCCGAAGAGCACCATGGGCTTAAACCGTTAAGCATCTGCCTTCTGTGCAACAGTTGTTTGTAAAACCAACCAATTATAACATACGTGTATTCTATGTATGCTGATATGACATGCCCATTGACTGATTGTATATAAATATGCTGATACACAATCAGCTTAGTGAAATGGAAGTTCATGCATTTATATATATACCCAAGAGTATAAAGCATCATATATCCATAGCCAAAATTGGAAACTTGGAAAATCTCGAGCTCATAAAATTTAATTCAAGAACCTAAACAATGTATTGTGCATCTCAATCATTGACTTAAAACTCTCTAATATAATAGCTACTATTAGATAGCTACCATCTCTTGTACCCAGAAGAAGATGCAATATTGCAAGAACTTTGTTCCATCACCTTTGAAAACACCCACAGGAAGCAAAGACTATTTAGCTGTGCAACTAATTTAACTATCATCTTCCTCATCATCGTCACCGTTTCCCTGATAAAAAAGTGTCAAAGGTTATTTGCAATGCAACAGCAGAATATCACATACGTTCATTGTAAATTTGTAATGCTCCATTATTGATTATTTGGACTGGTATTTTATTCCAATTTTGAATCTTATCAAGTACTTGATAAGCAGAGTATGTAAACATAATGCACTCAAGAGTATTTGATGGTTTTAGAAACCAAACAACAAATTTTGATTTCTCTCACTTGGATTAAAAGCAAGCTCTACTCTTTAGTCTTCATAATTTTTAAGCATAAAAAATTTTGTATAATGGGGATCGACTCTATTCTTCATGCAACCAACCACTATTTACGTGCATAAATTCTCAAGTTCATGTGTGTTTTATTACCTCTTCATCACCTTCATCTCCATCAGACACCTCTTCTTCATCAGCCTCCTGCAACAAATATGATAATGAACCCCATATGAACAACAGTAAATTAGAAGGAAGCTTTGTTCTGGGATTTTGTATTAAGTCCATCGTGAACAAAAAAGTAACCAATAGAAGAATAAAAGGAAAATATATGAAGAGAAACATTACACTGTTGAAATACTTGAGAGGATTGGGCCATAAATCCTCCTTGATTATATCTGCCACCTGTAATTTTAAGTTGAAAATGACATTGAACTAATAGTAGTAGTAAAATAGCGCCCAGTTATCACCATTATGGCAGCGTTCAATGTATCATTCCTCTCAACATTCAAAAGCACGAACAAGAACTTAACAGTACATGAAGATTAAAAAGTATAAAAGCAATTCACCTCATCGTGAAGCTCAGCAATATCTCTCTGTTCGGTTTCAGCAAACCAACTAAAGATGCTGCGTTTACAAAATTATTAGCAAAGGAGTTAAGATTTTAAATGGAAGAGGAAAATTAAAGTTGAATGTGTTTTCTCTTTATGGTAGTTGTTAAAGATCAAAGCTACTGGCCACAGCTTTCAGCCACTGCAGAGTGTATAAAATTTTCTTTTCACATTAAACAAACAATAATCAGAAGAAGCATAACCTCTCTTCAGCGAATGGTCGTTTATTTCCCTTTTTCTCATGATTGGCTCCATTGGAAGCATCCTTCACAAATTTCAACACATATTTAATCATATGCTACCAAAAAGAGTGTAAATAAAATGAATTAAAGAAGTATGCCCAAAGGCACACTGGGTGTCACCATTACCACGCCTTCCTTCCATTTAATGGTAGTACCAGTAATCTTAGTGGTCCCCTCGTCAAGGAATTTGAATGTTTTTGTCAACTTCGTATTTTCAAAATAAGGGTTCTCTCTGAAATTCTGAAAGGAAGTAATAGGGGGAAGAACAGAATTTGTAAGAAATGAACAAAAGGCTAGCATCCCAAAGAATAAATGAATGTTCTAAATGTATTATGTAGAGCTTAACTTACAAATGTGATCGAGTACCCTGATTTCACATCTTCAAAGTCCTCAACATCAAGAGAATGCATATACTTGAAGATCTATGTCGTCATCAACAAAAGAAAATAAAAAGGATTTGTGCAATTACACAAGCTTTAATTTCCAATGCAATTAGGGAATGCATCAAATTCAGTCAGATAATTTTAAAATCGATGTACCGAACCTTATGGTCTTCCTCACTTAGCAGAGCAGAAAAAGCAGGATGACTCATGAACTGCAGAGTACCAAAAACTAGAAAATTCAGTAGTAGTAAAATGAACTAGAAACTAAAAGCTCGCGAGAACAAGATGGAGCACTGACCGCAATTATCCAGAAGTCAGGGATAGATTTGATGATCTCATTCCGCTTATCGTAGACAGGCCTGCGTAACTCATTATATTTCTGCTCAACTTCCAGCACTTTATCACTTGCTTCTTCATTCACCTATTGAATCATGTAAAAAACAATTACCTCATTCAATTTCATAAACCCCAACATAAAATCTCAAATCATAGATTGCTGAACCATAAAAACTACAAGAAACTAAGAAAAAAAATAAAGCCAAAGAAACAATCTTATAAGCCCCAATTAAGTAATGGGTTCCCTTTCTTCACACAAAAACCTATAAAAAAACCTCAGTTTTCAACATCACAATACCCTAATGTTTGCCACATTAACCCATTAACAGAAGCTATCCATACACGATCAACACAAATAATAACCAAAATAAAAAAGAAATTAATGAAATATACAAAAGCCATTATATACATTTAAACAAACAGTCTCTTTACATTTTCAACCATCAATTATAAAACAAATATACATACAGATATTTATAGATATACATATACATACATAAATATATAGTTACATGCATGCATGGATACATAAAAAAATAGAAGGAAGGGTGGAGAAAAGAGGGACCTTCTCGAGTTCATCTTGGACCTCTTGCAACTTCTCAATGGAGAAAACGAGTTCACTATCACTTATGTCGACTGCATTATTCTCATCATCCTCCACTTTCTCAGCGACCTTTGATTTCTTTCCCAAGCCTCATCAGTAGAAACAAACAGCAGCTGAGCATCCCCTACTTTCTTACATAGCAAATTTGCAAGATCAACAGCGCCCAATCCATTTCCTATTACTTCCAGATTCTCCACTCCTAGAAAAGTCACTTGTGTCACGCCTGCATGTTATATACACACACATATATATATGCTACTATATATTAATCAAAATAAATCAAACTTATTTATCATCATATAACTAAATGTATCAACTTCTTTTTACCGTTACAGCCAGCAGCAATGGACATGGCCTTAGAGCGAGATTTGGGGCTATCCATATTAATACCGAATACTATTCTAACCTGAAAACCCAACCAGTAAAGTAATAAATTAATAATTTTTATATATAAAGATATAGATATAGATATCTATAACACAAATTTTAATTATTCTATCATTAAATTCATGTAGAGTAAGTTTAATTGGTTTTCATCATAAGAAAAATTATTAGACTCAATACATACCCTCTTCGTGGAGCTGGTGGACATGGTGATCTGGGTTTTGTTGTAGAAGATCGATAAAGAGAAATCAATGTTCCAACGGGCAGCGCTGATGGTCATTGAAGTAAATGAGGAATCAATAATATTATTTATAGAGTTCTTTGGGTGCTTGACTTTTATTATTAGTTTAATAACCCATACTTGACTCAAATGAAAATTCGCGTTACCATCCGGATTCACTGTTACAATGTTTTTTTTTTTATTTTTTTTATTTTTTTTTATGGTACATCAGCTAATCCTTCGGGGCCCTTTCTTTATTATGAATGATTGCTTGATAATCTCTTGAAGAAAATCAACTTTCATAAATCATAAGGTCCTCTACGAAGTTTCCCACCTCTTTATCCCAAAAGGAATGTTGATTTTCCTCAGTGTTACAAAGTTAATTGGTGTGTTCCTCACGTTAGGATAATGAAATAATAAAATAGAAAAACCCCCTTAAGACGTTAACAAAATTAACAATTCATATAGCTGTAAAGGCTAAATACTTTTTTATTTTTAACCTTAAATAAATGCTTACAAAAAAGGAAGGGACAACTATTTTAACCCCCTAAGGTTTGCCAAAACTTCAAAAAAAAAACCTTATACGTGTGTTATGAATGTTTTACCCTTCCTTTAACAACTTTAACGGGATTTTGTTAACATCTAACAAACGACGAGTTTTGTATTATTACTAGTACTTGAGTGGGTTTTATAGCTTTGACCAAACGTTGGGGTTTTAAATAATAATCCCTAATTAATATATTAAATAAAACATCACCCTTGACATTTTGAAATTTTTTCAAAAACTAGCCTTAGGCATAATTAAATAACAAAAATCTCTTCATGATCATTGTAATAACAGAAATCCTTTTGCCGTTTAAGTTGTTTGTGTTAAAATAAATGACAGATGACAATTAGGTAAATATTCATTATAAATTCTAAAGAGACACAAACAATAAAGGTTGTGTTTGTTTCATTTTTCCCAATACAATCCTACCAAAAATACATATTTGTTTCAATATTCTCAAAATCCAATCATATTCTATTCAACTCAAAATATTTAGATTTTTTTAACCTTTTATGTTTGTTAATTTAACTAAATACCCCACCCACCCACATATTCCGAACAGCCAACAACCACTGTTGAAAGGTGACTGGAATCTGTTAGAATGACGCACGATTGGTTGGATGTGGCAATCGTGCACTGGTTTGGCCTTTTCTGGCAAGATCCATGATGAATCTACTTAACCAGTCGTGCACTATTCCGACCACCCTCCGATTGTGATGGCCGGTTGTCGACATTTAATGGGTGGGTGGGGGTATTTTTGTTAATTTTTAATGTTTTATTTTATGGTGTGTTTAGCTAAATTAACAAATATAGGAGATTAAAAATAATCTAAATATTTTTAGAAAATGTTTTCCAAAAATTTATCAAATACATTTTCAAATTCAAATTTTATTCTCGTGATAAGAACTCAACTCAACTTTTTCAAAAATATTATTCTAAATAATCTACCAAACACAGGCAAAAGAATTTATGTTATTTCTAAAATTTCAGAAGGAATTTTGTTATTTAATTAAACCTATGGTGCATTATACTATTTAAAAAAAAAACACACACACCCAAAATTAAAAGAGATGAAGAAGAGGGTATTGATGAATGAAAGTTGAAATATTGATGGTCATTATGTTTGTTTTATTAATTTGGGGTAAGACTTTTTGTCTTTTTATTTTACTCTTTATTACAATAAAGAGTCTTTTAACTTTTAAGGGCTAAAAAGAGTATTTCATTGGTCGAAATTGGTCAATGAATATTTTATTAAGGTCATCATGCCATGCCACTTAATAAAGGTGCAAACTTTAGAATGGGAATAGTAACGCGGAATAAATAGAAATCTAAGCCTATGTGGCCCAAATTTCATGATTAAGAAGTGGAAGAATCATGGAAATTAACATTAAAAGCCTACTGTAAAATCATTACACAATGTATATTGATTTTAGGGGTTAATTACATATTTTGTTAAGGTGATTATGCCACATAATAAACACGCAAACTTTAGAATTTCCAATAACCCGCGGAATAGTATTCTTATAATGTTTTCATAAATAGAAAATCTAAGCCTACAATGTCCCAAATCCAATCATGTCAATAACTTTTAATTTTTTATTTCATGATTAAGTCATGGAATTTTGGAAATTAACATTAGCAATGTTGAACTTACAACGACCTTGCCTTCCACATAAAATGTACTTTACTTTGAATGAGCCTAAGACTCATTATGTTACTATTCAAACTATGATTTGATTTATTTATTTTTGTTGGTGATCGATGTGTTCTGACCAAGCTTGCACGCACATTAACTAATCTCTAGAGTTCATTGAATACCCTACAATACCCTATAAACTCAAAAAACTAGGTAAGTTATAATATGATAGGTGATCTCAAAGTTTAATTGAACTTAGGACCTTAATAAAATAAGTAAATCTCCTTGATCGTCAGACCAATCGCTATCACATCAAATGTACTTACTCTGAATGGGCTTGGGACTCATATAAAACAAAAATCATGTTAGTACATTAAATTACAAATTTTTCTTTGTTTGAAGTGAGGAGTCCTAAGCATACACCCAAAATTATTATTATTGTTATTATTATTATTATTATTATGTAATAATTAAATTTTGTTCAAATATATTTTTGAATTAAATAAATTATTATTATTATTATTTTTTAAAATAAAGTTAACCAAATATATACGTGAAAGGGTTGAAAGATGAAATAGTATTTGCTTTTGTCCAACCATTAAAGGAATAGGGAATCCATAAGCCCTCCTACAAGCTATTATTCTAAACCTTTCCCCATTTCAAATTGCATTATTATAGCTTTAAGTACTACTAATAAGCATGATTGTTGGCTTTAAACTCACCATTTGAGTACTAGTACGGTAGTACCCACAATCCGAAGGCCTGTTTTATTTAAAATTGGGTGGATGTTTGCTTTAGTTATTTCCGTTTTGGTGGTTTTTTTTTTTTTTTTTTTTTTTCAATTATATTAATCATGCTTCTAGTTTCTCTTGAATTATATTCACGCCTATGAAATTCTCAACTAAAATCTGGAATTATCAATAGAGGAAAACTCGTCTGCGGCGACCGGCCATTACCAACACCAAAAGCCGACACCAATGTAGTTGCAAGTCGCCAATGCGATTTAGTTCATGCTCATAAATGTATTAGTTAACTTAGCTTGCACGAAATTTTTGTCTATATCTTGAAGACAAAAAAAACCTTACCGGCTAGGAAAGAACTATGGATTAATTTAATTTACTTTTGAGTTAAAATGGTTGATGATGATAATGGCGATATATAGTGATAGATTTGGAATGTATCCAAGACTTCAACATTCAATATGTTTTCACACTTGCCCATGTTGGAATCACAAGATTATGCCATATCATAAAATCATCACTAGATAGATTTTGACCTTTTGCTTTTAAACTTTTGGATAAGCCTGCTGTGGAAATAGCCAGACTGACTTACAACGGTGGGGTTGTGGCTCTTCTGGAAATAGAAACTCCCTTTTTTGTATCTGAATATAACATCCTACATCATCAACGTGCAAACTTTAGAATGGAAATAGTAACAGGAAATATATAGAAATCTAAGCCTATATGGCCCAAAATTCATGATTAAGTCGTGGAAATTAACATTGAAAGCCTATGTGTAAAGACATGTTGAGCTTACAACAACCCGAAATATAACATATTTTACACAATGTATATGTATATTTACTAATTTTATATTATATCATATCATAGAATAACCATTTCAAAGTAGTAGCACTCCCAGGAATTGCATTTCGTGGTTATTGAAATTTATCAACTTGTTGAAGTAAACGCCACTGATTTCAAGATACTTATCAAAACTACAAAACCTTCAATTCTTCACTTCCAGAGTCAATTCTTCACTTTTCTTTCTTAGGTGGCACGATCTTAACGGGCTTGTTCAGTCTCTCCTTCAGAGTCTCAGCCAACACTTTAGCGTCCATTGTTGATGTTCCTTCAACAATCACCAGCTCTTTCTCTTCGTCCACTGTCATACGCCGCACTCCTGTAATTAAGTAAGCAACGTTAAATTATATACATGGCCAACATAATACGGAGACATTGAAAACGACGCTGTAACGGTAACGGTACGGAACATGAGTAGCAATGATCACTCAAACTCACCTTCGGTTTTTAGCAGAGTCTTCTGAATCCTCTCTGTGCAACCGCCGCAGAGATGGGCCAGCTTCAAAACCGCCGTCGTCACCGGAGGCTGTAATTATTTGGTGTTAATGATATAAGAGTGATTATCCTCTTTGTTAATCAATTAATTCATAAGGAAGAATGTTTAGAAGTCATTTATCACAAGAAAGAAGGAAGAAAAAAGAAAAAAAAAGTAAACTTGAAATCAACAACAAAGGTTTAATATAATACAAATAATTAAACATAAACTAATAACCACTGGATCCGAATTAATTTTATATAAACTCCTGAAAATTCCAGTTTAATTGGAAGGCTCAAACTCAACTTTCTCTTCAAGCTGCGATAGAATCTGCAACTTAATTAAAATTACATCTTCGGATCTGCAACTTAAATCTCAATTTTTTCCCTAATATAATTGTTGGATCAAAATTTTTTATTGAATTATATTTCTGATTACTAAGCAAACTAATTATTAAGTATATACAAATGCTCACATCCATACCTCCTTTAATTGAAGCTCATGCTCATTTGCGTGTTTTAAATAACCAAGAATGTTTTCATCCTCTATGAAAGTGAAAACAGCAGCAATAATAGCGAAGACTAGTAGCAAAACAGGTGCTGTATAATTGTTGTTGATCTTGATGCCCAAAACTGGCAGAAATGTACCAATCAACAGAACCACTGAGAAGCCAATCTCCAAGGCCCCAAGCTGCTTCTCAGCATCTCCTCTGATTCTTTCCGGCATACAAGTTAAAATTGTCATCACAAAACCAGAGAATGATAAGAGAAATGCAGCAAGATGGATAATAAAGGGGCTTTGCCCAGCCACATCCAAAACCAATGATACTGTTTTCAACATCACCAAAAACACCGCAAGTGCACGCCGTTTATCTTCACGAAGTAGCTTATATCCCTACAACAATAATTTTGAGAGACTCAAAATTATCTAATAAATTCAAAACCATAGAAAAAAAAAAGACATTCTTAAACAAAAGAGAAAAACAGAGGAACAAATAAAGACAAAGCTAATAATCTCCACAATCCTTCCCATCAAGTATGGAGGATAAATACAGCCCTTAATTTCACAAAAAAAGTTTGCTTATAACTCACCCGGAAGACCAAAGAGCTGATGGATGAAAAGTAATCATCGGTGGAGAAGCAGCTACCACATCTATTTGCTTCAGTGTTGTTCATGCTTAATTCTGATCTCTGAGGCTCTGAAACACACTGTCAATTCTTAAAAAAAAAAAAAAAACTGTCAATTCTCTCTACTCTGTTACAATAAAAGTAGAACCCGGTGGGAGGGGAACGAAAATAATGAAGGAGAGTTCAAGAAAGCACACCGTCAATTGATCTCTCCCAACTCTTTTACAAGACAAGGTAGAAAGTAGAAAAGGGTGGGACTTGGGAGTGGGAGTGGGAGTGGGAGTGGGACGATTAAACAGATGAATGAATAGAGTAGTTGACAATGTCAATTTGCACACGCAACATTATATAATATAATATAAGACTAAAATCAGCATTATATAATATATTGTAGGGACTGTGACCTTTTCACCTGACCTGCTTTCTGCATGCGGGAATCGTAAATCACACGCTACCCACAATCAAAATATCTGATTGGTATTACAATATAATGTTTCTCCTCTTACGGTAAATGATAATTGCTGTAAAACCGAGTTTACCTAACCAAAAATCAATATTCTAACCGACCAAAAATGAAAGAAAAAAAAAAAAAAAAAAACACTATCTTTTTACTGTTGTTTACTTGTTTAAGATTGAATCAGTTACATCCCTATTGAGTTTCAGAATATAAAGGCTCGCTGTTGTATTATTATTATCACAAAATCACATAGTACAAACCTCAAGAACACACTCAAACTTTGGCTCAAACACTCACTCTCAAGAACCTCAACCTTTCCACTATTGTTATCGTAAATCTACAATCCTCTAGAGAAGCTTAATCCTGATTCTCTACTCATAAAAGAAACACAACTTTTAGATGGATTACAACGCAATTTACACAAGAGAACAGATTGGGATTAAGAACCACAACAAAGAGCATTTGATCGCGAATTTTCCCAGCATCCCACTGTGCAAATTTCTGCTTTTATATGTTGATCACAAGAAAAGATTTTAGCCATTGGATTTGATAGAGACCAAGGGCCAAGACTGAACTTAAATAGCTTGAAACGGCAACGCATTAGTAAAGCACAATAAGACATAGTTTTAACAGTTTCACACATTAACAGTAACTTATTCAAATATATACAAACTTGGTTGAACATAAACATGAAGGTGGGACCAGGGGGAGAGTCAAGAAAGTTGACCGGTCAAATTGAGATGAGTCAAAGAAAACACTGAATAATTAAAAAAGTAAAAGTGAAATATGTAAAAAACTGTGCCCAGAAACGTACGTTGTTAAGACAAGCATCTTCTGTTAAGAAAAGAATCTGACATTCCCACTTCCAGAGAGAATTTCGATGGCTGACTCAATTCTATTTCTGCCGCTGCTTCATGAATGGCCATTCACGACAGTTTATAAAATCCAGTATCACTTTTTAGGCAAGTATTCGTTAAATACTTCCAGAGAATCATGCTAATAATAATAAACGACATTGTCGTGATTATTGACAACAATTATCACTTTTATATAGTCTATTTAATGGAATTAAGTATATCAAATTATCTAATTATTAACCATCTTTATATGATTTAATGCTAAAAGAGAAAAAGAAATTTCGTAAGCTCTTAAGTATGAGTCCTCCAATACTAATAGAAGTGACTACTAGAATTTTTACCCGATTAATAATTTTAAGGTTTGAAGGATTAGTTGAGGTACGTGCAAACTGGTATGAACACTCTCAATGATTAAAAAAAAAAATCTAATCATTTTCGTATTTAGATGTTAATTATGGATTTATATGACATTGCCTAAAATTAAATTTATCTACCTTGTTAAGAAAATATAAAATGCTTATATCAGGGTTTTTTTCAATAATTTTGTAGGTTTTTTAATATATTTTTAGATAAATTTTGTTTGTATTAGAGGTTTTAATATTTTTTAAACTTTTTATTGTAGAGAATGTTTAGTTAAATTAACAAACTTAGAAGGTATTTTCATTAATTTTTAAATCATACCTCGTAATAATAATCCAACTCAATTTTTTCAAAAATCCTAATCAAAATAATAAAACAAACACAACTTACTGTACCACCAGCAATCAGGACTCATTATATACAAAGTGGTATATTGATCAACTGGACTGATGCAAGAGGAGAGCAGAACTCCCAAAGAATGTTTATTTTAATAACATTGTGTTCTATAATACCTTCTACCCTTACTAGTACCCATTTTTTCATCCGTAATGATCTCTGTCTTTAACACAACCTCTCCATCCCCTATTGCCATTCAATCAGAGCTCATCTCTGAAACCATTTAATGGAACACAGCCTCTCCATTCTCTATTTCCATTTGATCAGCTCTTCTCCAAAATCATGTACCAATAAAGGGAACAAATAATCAACCAAAAAAAAAAAAAAAACACAATTTGATCAGCTAAGAGAAGCCAAATTCAAAGGCACTTCAAATAAACCAAACCACTAACGAATGGAAACCTAAAAGAAATCATCCTACATAATTAACGTGCAAACTTTGGAATGAAGATAGTAACAGGGAATAAATAGAAATCTAAGCCTATATGGCCCAAATTTCATGATTAAGTCGTGGAAGAATCATGGAAAGGCTATGTGTAAAGACATGTTGAGCTTACAACAACCCCACATGTAACATATTTTATGTAATGTATATTTGATTTTAATTACATATTTTATTAAGGTTATCATGCCACATAATAAACGCACAAACTTTAGAATTTCCACTAACCTGAGGAATATTATTATTATAATATTTTCATAAGTAGAAAATCCAAGCCTACATGACCCCATGACCCCAATCATGTCAATAACTCTTAATTTTTAATTTCATGATTAAGTTGTGGAATTTTGGAAATTAACATCAGCAAAGTTGAACTTATGACGACCTTGCCTTCCATATAAAATTTACTTTACTTTGAATGGGCCTACGACTCATATAAAATGACACATGAGATTATGTTACTATCCAAGCTATGATTTTATTTTATTTTTTTAACCAAGGTGTCCAGGTTAAGTTTGCACACATCTCAACTAATCTCTAATGTCCATTGAATACTTTACAATACCCTGTAAACCCAAAGAACCAAATAAGTTACAATATAATAGGTAATTCCAAGGTTTAATTAAACCTAAAACCTCAATGAAATGGGCAAATCGCCTTGATCATCAGGCCAACCGCTTGGGTTACTATGATTTGATTTCATTATCATATAAAATGTACTTGGCTTGAATGGGCCTGGAACTCATATAAAATGAAAATCATATTAGTAAATTTTCTGTGTTTGAAGTGAGGAATCCTAAGCATACACCCAAATATTATTATTATTATGTAATAATTAAATTTTGTTAAAATATATTTTTGAATTAACTAAAACAATAAGGGTTTTTTTTATAAAGTTAACCAAATGTACACGTGAAAGGGTTGAAAGATGAAATAGTATTTGCTTTTGTCCAACCATTAAAGGAATACGGAATCCATAAGCCCTCCTACAAGCCATTATTCTAAACCTTTCCCCATTTCAAGTTGCATTATTATAGCTTTAAGTACTACTAATAAGCATGATTGTTGGCTTTAAACTCACCATTTGAGTACTAGTACGGTAGTACCCACAATCCGAAGGCCTGTTTTATTTAAAATTGGGTGGATGTTTGCTTTAGTTATTTCCGTTTTGGTGGTTTTTTTTTTTTTTTTTTCAATTATATTAATTCATGCTTCTAGTTTCTCTTGAATTATATTCACGCCTTTGAAATTCTCAACTAAAATCTGGAATTATCAATAGAGGAAAACCCGTCTGCGGCGACCGGCCATTACCAACACCAAAAGCCGACACCAGTGTAGCTGCAATTCGCCAATGCGAATTAGTTCATGCTCATAAATGTATTAGTTAACCTAGCTTGCAAGAAATTTTTGTCTATATCTTGAAGACAAAAAAAACCTTAGCGGCTAAGAAAGAACTGTGGATTACTTTAATTTACTTTTGAGTTAAAATGGTTGATGATGATAATGGCGATATATATAGTGATAGATTTGGAATGTATCCAAGACTTTAATATTCAATATGTTTTCACACTTGCCCATGTTTTTTCTTAAATCTTTTAGACTTACTTTGGACATCATAGTCTTCTTCTATGGAAAAACAAAAATTCAAGGACTGAAAAGCTGATGATGATATGCAATATCTACTGATTCTAAGTTTGTCCTTGTGTGCTTGAAAGATGCATTTTCTCTTCTACTTTAAGCCTGTAGCACGAAAACCACTTTTGTTCACCCTTGAACCTGTCAGTTTTTGGAATCACAAGATTATGCCATATCATAAATCATCACTAGCTAGATTTTTACCTTTTGCTTTTAAGCTTTTGGATAAGCCTGGTCCGGAAAAAGCCAGACTTATTTACAATCGTGGGGTTGTGGTTCTTCTATAGAAACCCCCTTTTTTGTATCTGAATATGAACAATGAATAATTGAATATAATATCCTACGTCATTAACGTGCAAACTTTAGAATAGAAATAGTAACAGGAAATAAATAGAAATCTAAGCCTATATGGCCCCAACTTCAGGATTAAGTCGTGGAAGAATCATGGAAATTTACATTAAAAGCCTATGTGTAAAGACATGTTGAGCTTACAACAACCCGACATATAACATATATTACGTAATGTATATTGATTTAGGGGTTAACTACATATTTTATTGAGTTATCATGCCACATCATAAACGCATAAACTTTAGAATTTCCAGTAACCCAAGGAATATTATTATTATAATATTTTCATAAATAGAAAATCTAAGCCTACATCAACATTACCCCAAATCCAATCATGCCAATAACTTTTAATTTTTAATTTCATGATTAAGTCGTGGAATTTTGGAAATTAACATAATCAATGTTGAACTTACGACGACCCTGCAGCCTTCCATATAAAAAATACTTTATTTTGAATGGGCATGGGACTCATATAAAATGACATGTAAGATTATGCTACTATTCAAACTATGATTTGATTTCACTATCATATCAAATGTACTTACTTTGAATGAGCCTTGGACTCATATAATTGAAAACGTTCCATCAACTCTCACGTGCTTAATCGGTGTGAGACTTTAACATTCTCTCTCACAGTTAAGTTCATATTTTAGGTCATGTTTGTTTCTCTCTTATAAATCAGTAAGCTTGAACGTGCCTAATCAGTCAATTGCTCAACTTAACTTGGCCTAACTTTGATACCATAA